AGCAGGGGGCACTCAATATGATATTTAAATGAATGGCTGGTTTTTAAATATTTCTGTTCTTTCACATCACGTTTGGTGCAGACAGAAATATCACTTGTCGCTTGAATCTTGTTGCATCGTGTGTTCTTAAGATGCTGTGTTATATTGATATTTTTGTTTTATTTAAAATAATATATAGTTCATATAATATACATATTTCAATCATTACATTAATTATTACATGTAATACATGTTACTATTTACATTTTTTAGAAAGCTTGAATTTGTAAAAAAAAAAAAAAAAAATCAGTGTCATTCACTGAACTATCATTTTTAAAACTCCCTGTCAGCGTGGGGAATGCACCTGTTTTGGTGTGGCTTCATTCGCTGGTAACTCAGCGGAAGTAGGTAAGTGGGTGTGACCAAGGGGAGAGTCCTGAATGGCTGTCTGCTCCGGTGAAAATGCATCACTGCTTTCCTCATCAAACGAAGAATTCTCCGCTTCTACTTTTGGAAACTCAGTCTCTGAAAGGATAAAAAACAAACATCACAAACCACACCACTTTGAGATTTAAGTCTACCAAGCTGAATTTTTAGATACAAATAAACTGCTTTAATAGTAATAGAAGAATCCATTAATAATTTACTCGTAAAATACTTGCCCTCAAGTCGTTCCAAACCTTTAGAAAATTCCTTCTTCTTTTGAACGCAGAAGATATCTTGAAGAATGTAGAATACTTGTAGCCACCGATACTAAATAATATTGAAATCCATGGCTACAGGTTTGCAACATTCTTCAAAACATCTTTTTCTGTGTTCAACATAAAAAACTCAAAGGTTTAGAGCAAGCATGAGGTGAGTAAAGAAATGACAGAAGGGACCCATTTCACAAGACTGTTATGATGCATTTAACGGTCATCATAACTTACATCCTTAAAAGTCTTTAATATTTATGTTTTTAAAAAACGTAAGAACATTTAAATGCATTCATGCATTATATCATCTTTGCGTCAAATTACAAAAACTGAATTACTGCTTATGCAAGGTGTTTCTAATGCAGTGTCTATGGGGCTGAGAGTAAATTTGTCGTTATTCTCTCCTCACACTATTCTCCCTCTTTTTTTGAAAGTCTTGATAACACCTTGTGGAGTTTTTTTTTTTTTTTTCTTGTTTCAGCAAAGAGGATTGTAAAAAAAAATATTTGTTGGTCTCTTTCATTCACTGAACTCCCAAGTTTACCCAACTATGATGACTTCTGCTTCTGAGAAACCCGGAAATGTGAAAAGGGTCTATTGTCATTATTAGGTTAACTCTCTCTTTAAATAATAAAAACAATGATACAGCATTAAGAAACCTAAAGCTACCCCACTCCACTATAATTGTCCCAGAGTGAATAATAAAACCTTTAAACCACGCTGTATGATATTTCTATTTAATTTGAGTGTGTTCTAAGAGCAAGGCTTATATGCCGATAATCATTAACTCTCTAATTAGGTTATTTAGGGATTAAAACAGTTTAATTTGTCTTTCAGCATTCCTTCACTGTGCTGCATTGTGTACCGCTGCATAAACTTCATGGTTAATCAACTCAAGCCACAGAGGTGTGACGTATTCCGTATGAACATGAATGTAAATTCCCCTCTAATTAATTTAACTTGGTGTTTGATGCACACCAATCTCATTAGCATAACTCTGCATTAAATTAGCACATGCTGAACCGCTGCAGGAACGCGGTGGGAGATAAATATGAAGACGAATGTGCACACACTGCTAACGATGCGCTGGAACGAGCGCTGGAGCATCTGTGTATGGATGCAGATTGAGAGGAATGAGAAAACGTGAAGAATAGAAATGTGAATCTTAGCATCCACTGGAGAATTAACAAACTCACTGAAATGGAGGTTTGCTGTGGTAATAAACTGTGACTAAAGAGGCATTTAGGAGGATTGAAAAAGGGACAGATAAAGGTTTACGTAGACTGAGGATGCAGAATATACTCCAGAATGAAAGTTAAGCAAGTATAATTAATCAACATTATCTCTGAAATGATGCAGAAGCATTCCTCACTCATAAATTCCTATTAAATTTCATATATGAATCTTAATTAGAAGGTAACACAATAAATAAAACTAGATTAAATTAAAAAAAAATAGTAAATGATTTTAGTAATAAATATTCAACTTGTGTAATATATTTTTTATTTTTAAATGCAACATTTTTTACTTGTAAAAGTAAATATAAAACACACATATTATTTACATATAAAATATATAACAATTCTGTTTAAGGGGTTTTCTTGATTTAACTTTATATATTTAATATTGATTTAGCATTTTTTAAACTGACAAACAAAACAAACGCATTTTGTAACACAACAAAATGTTCACCATAATTTAAAAACAGAACGTAAATCATGTGGCAGAGGTCCTAAATCCTTATTTCATACCTTATGCATATTACAGTACTAATCAAAATCAAGGTTCTGCTATCTTTATGGTTTCACTTAAAAATGCCTGCTTTATTTACTATTTAAATAAGTTTGGCTACAAATATATCTATACAACTTCAGAATGGTTGTGTGGTCCAGTTACTACTATATATACGTGCTAATCTGCATACATTTTTTGCACAAAAATCTGAACTCTGTATAGAAACGTCTTGATACATTTTTTTTTTTACCATATTGGAGATTTTTACATAGGAAAATTGGCTGATTCATATGCATTCTCGAACCAGCGACCTTCTTGCTGTGAGGCGACAGCACTACCTACTACGCCACCACGTCGCCTCAAATCTAACCCTTGTTTTACCAAAGTTATTGTAGTTAAGCAGTTTAAAAACACGGCATTTAAAAATTTGTTTAAAACCTAAAATCTACAAACAAAAACTGATAACATTGGACAAAATATAGACTTAAAAGTATATTTTGAATGTTTTTGCATTATTAGTTTGAATTAGTATAGTTTTGAAGTATATTTTGAATGTTGAATGTTCAACTATACTGAAATAATGCAAATCAAAAGTTCAGAATTCTTCAAATTGACAAATGAGCATAAAACTGTTTTTTGCCAGCTTAAAATAAAAGAACTCAAATCACGTGGCACGGGTCCTAAATCCTAATTTCATACATTTATTAATCCTTATATCATACTTTAATATTTCAATTCATACTTTTGAATATATTATAAATCTGAATTATTTAAAATCAGAAGTCAACTCACAACTCCTGCTAAACTGACATAACTGGGTAGAGTTCTTGGCTTGAGTATATCAGCCCTTAAATCAACTTTTGCTCTACTGTATGACATCTGGTTTCTGAGCACCTATGATGGCTTGTTTGATGCTGCTGTGAACAGGAAGGATGTTTTTGTGAACAAGCTCCATGGGCCCGGGCCGCTGAGAGATTTTATCGTTCAAGTCGTCTGCTAGACGAGCTCGTTTCAGCAGCAGCTGCTTGGCCTGAAGAGATGGTTCAGCTGAAGTTTCTGCACACAGAATATACATACATACAGTTTACAAAACACTTACACATAAATCTACAGCAACAAGCTGAAAGGAAACAATGCTAAAACCACTAATAGTAACACTACCATACATCAATTTCCAAGTTGATTGATTTTATAATAAATTGCTTGTATGACTTATTTTCAAATTCATTCTATAAGCATTTAATTGATGAATGGTTTGTTAAGATGAGACAATATTTGACAAATTAAAATTCAAAATGATTAATGAATCAATCAATTATGAGATAAAGTAAAAATCTGAGGGTAAAAGAGTTCTTATTTTACTTTTATTTTTGTTCTTTATTTGACAGGAACAATGAACAATCAAAAACTGCACAAGAATTAGCTGCATAGCTAAATTTAATCTGCAGTTCCCGTGCTGGAAATAAAAAAATACAAGTCACATAACAAATACATAAACACAATACCATAGTAAAATAAATTACGTCAAGATTTAAATTATAAACCCCTACTTATTGCTCATACACCTAATGTATTTTTAACCAGCATTTCAACTGCAGCTTGAATTGTGCTAAGGTAAGACTCTGTCTAATATTAATTGGTAAATTGTCCAGATTTAGCTCTGAGTAATGCATATTAGTAAATAAAATCTAGGTTCTGCTATCTTTATGGTATCACTTACAAAATGCCTGCTGTATTTACTATTTAAATAAGGTTAAATAGTCAAGTTATTATTTGTGCTAATCTGCCTAGATCTTTGGCATAAAACTCTGAACACTGTTTACAAACTTATTGATATATGTTTTTTGACCATATTGGAGATTTGGTGAATCTATATGCATCCCCATGTCATTCAGAAAATTTGGCAATCGGCTAAAACAAAACTGTAAACAAAAGAAATGGTAGAATAAAATAATTGGTTAAAAAAAAAGTATGAACACATCCCTCTATAAAAAAACATTCAAAATATAGATATCAATATAAACAATAAAACAATACTAAAGTCAACCATTACAACTACAAATTAACTGTGGTTTTGCAAATCTAACCCTTGTTTAACCATAGCAATTGTAGTAAAGTGCATTTAGAAAAAAACGACACTTAAGAATATGTATAAAACCTAAAATCTACAAACCCAAACTGATAACATTGGACAAAATATAGACTTAAAAGTATATTTTGAATGCTTTTGCATTTTTTTAGTTAGAATTAGTATAGTTTTGAAGTACATTTTTCAAATTGACAAATGAGCATAACACTGTGTGTAACATCTAAACAATGAGGGGTGTGTGTGCGTGTTTGAACTGTAGGGGGAGTAATGAAAACACTCACCTTCGAGAATGTGCATCCTGACCAGCTCTGACCTCTCTGGACGACTGCGGATCTTTCTCTTTAGGTAGTCCTCAGTCTGAAACACAAGAAAGCAGAAGATGTAAAGCAAGACAGCTATATATATTTACACTTCACTGAGAAGACTGATAAATATAGGAAAACTTACTCGTGCTCGTTCTAAACTTCGTCTCTGCTCATGAAAAGACGCTGAACTTTTCAGTGCTGGAAGGTAAAAAAGACACAAAGAGAAATGACTCTTACATTCAGGTTATTATAAATATAACTGGGTAAAGTTGAGGGCTGTGGAAAATAGAAAGCATTGGAGAGAAAACAAAATCTAAAATAGAAACTTGTTGTGTGCGTTGTGCAGATCACAGGCAACACTCTGCGTCAGTGCGGTGCAAATATATCTCATAGCTTCTTCTTTTTGGATAGGTGAAAATGTTATTTTTGTAAAAAGCAAAAAAAAAAAAAAAAAAGACGCTTGTTAAAGGTCTTGATACACAAACAACATATTACAAATGCATATGTTTTTTCTCCAGGAACACATACAAAAGCTAAATCTAACATTTCAACAGGCCTGTCTGAGGAACTGTTTTATCCAGCAAACTCACAGTCTGAGTACTTGTAAAAGTGTGTGTTTTTGACATATCAGGAAACATATTGGTGTAATGATTTGGGTATGACACAGGTATTCAAATGTATTCCTCAACACTAACATTAATATTTGTTAATATATGTCTTTTTTAGGGCATCAAAGTGGCACAGTGGGTAGTACGATAGCCTCACAGCAAGAAGGTCGCTGGTTCAAGCCCCAGCTGGGTCAGTTGGCACTTCTGTTTGGAGTTTGCATGTTCTCCGTGTCTGCATGGGTTTCCTCCGGGTGCTCCGGTTTTCCTCAGAAGATATGTGGTAAAGGTGAACTGAATAAACTAAATTGTCTGTAGTGTATGTGTGTGAATGCAAGAGTGTATGGGTGTTTCCCAGTGATGGGTTGCAGCTGGAAGGGCATGCGGAGGGTAAAACATTTGCCGGATAAGTTGTCGATTCATTTCGAATAAAAGGACTAAGCCGAAAAGAAAATGAATGAATGATGTCATATTTAAACTATTATGAACAACAGCTATGCTACAGTGATTCTCTTTCGTTTGCTCTCTATGTCTATTAATCTCTTTCTTTGCAGACTGAGCAGCTAAAAGTCTTAAGCAATACACAAATACACTTCAGTGAATATGTATTATACACACACAGACATTTCCTTTTTGAAAAGGACACTATATATTGTATAACTGCAGATTAACTACTGTCCACCTTATAGACAACACCTTAACATTTCTGCCTATAATGTGGCCTATAATCAGTCTTTTGAATCTAAAAAGGTCTACATATATATAATATAATATTCTAATATGGAATCTGAAGGTCTACATCAGGGGTCTCAAACTCGCGGCCCGCAGGCCATTTGCGGCCCTCAGTGCAATATTTTGTGGCCCGCGCCGACCGCTGTACACTGACAGAATCAGCGGAGTGGGGGAGAGAGCGCTCCCCGCTCCGCTGATTCTATCCATACACAGCGGTCACTGGCATTTCCCGCCCGCCGTGTAAACAAAGTGGCGGGGATGCCGGTGACGTCACCACGCACCCCGCCCCTTTGTTAGACGCTGTGACGGGCGGGAACTGTTAGGAGGGAACTCGCGCCGGCCAGAACCAAGTCAAGCTGTTCCCGCCCCTGCCTGCCACTTAGCTACCTATCTGCAGCCTGCCACCTACCTAGCTACAGCCTGCATTTTATATATATTATAGGTAGATACAGACTGGTACAGACTGATGTGACTGTGGGGTGGGGGTGTTTTATTTATACATATTTACGCCTTTTTTTTAGGTGAGGGAATGGAAGTTTTGAGTGAGTCTAGACAGGTCTAGACTTAATGATGATCATCTTCAAGCCATACTGAGGGTCTCAACTGCTTCCGCTCTAAAGCCAAATGTGGTTCACATTTGTGAGAAGAAGTGCTGTCAAGTCTCTGGCAGCAAGAAGTAGGCAAAAGATGCCATGTTCAGAAGAACTGTTCATAATCTTCACTCAATGTTTTATTAATGTTCAGGACACTTCATGTTCAGAAGAAATAATTAAAACTGTTAATAATGACATTTGAGGACTTTTTTTTGTGAAATCCCTTATGTGGCCCAGCCTCACCCAGACTTTGCCTCCTGCGGCCCCCAGGTAAATTGAGTTTGAGACCCCTGGTCTACATCCTCCAATTAAAGTGAGAGCACCACCTTGTGGTCACTTTCCAAAACCTTTTCATTCAATGTTCCTCACTGGTGGAATGATATTCCCATTCCCACACGTACAGCGGATACACTGGTATCCTTTAAACAACAACTAAAAACCCATCTCTTCAGAGAACACTTGAACCCTGGTGAATATTACCACAAATTGAAGCACTTTCTGAAAGATGGCCTAGGCAATAAAACGATAGCCAACACTCTGAAACTGTGCTGCAGCACCGTGGCCCAGACCATTCAGTGCTTTAAGAGGACAGGTTCTTCCCAGAACAGGCCTCGCCATGGTCAGCCAAAGAAGCGGAGTGCACGTTCTCAACGTCACATCCAAAGATTGTCTTTGAAAAACAGACGGATGAGTGCTTCCAGCATTGCTGCAGAGATTGAAAATATGGGAGGTCAGCCTGTCAGTGCTCAGATTATACGCCGCAAACTGATAGAACACACCTCCAGGATGAACCATGGCTTGCTAAAGAGGCTCAAGGTAAAGGTCATAGACTGACCAAGCATTTCTCTAGACATAAACCCCATAGAACACCTCTGGGGCATTCTGAAAAGGAAGGTGGAGGAGCACAAGGAGTCAAATGTCCACCACCTCCATGATGTTGTGATGGAGGAGTGGAAGAGAATTTCAGTGGCAACCTGTGATGCTCTGGTCAACTCCATGCCCAAAATAACTAAAACCATGCTGGAAAATGATGATGGCCACACAAAATATTGACATTTCACATTTTCACTTAGGGGTGTACTCACTCAGAGGACAATAAATTTACACTGCTATACACACTTTACACTGACTACTTGTCAAAAAGTCATTTCTATATTTCTATAGTTATTTCTATAGCGTTTTTTCAATGTAGATTGTGTCAAAGCAGCTTAACACTGAAGTTCTAGTAAATTGAAACCATGTCAGTCCAGTTTTCAGAGTTGAAGTTCAGTTCAGTGTGGTTTAATTTTCACTGCTGAAAGTCCAAACACTGAAGAGCAAATCCATTGATGCGCAGCTCCACAAGTCCCAACCAAACAAGCCAGTGGCAACAGTGGCAAAGAACAAACCTTACCAATTGACGAAAGTGAAGGAAAAAACCTTGAGAGAAACCAGGCTCAGGAGGGCACGACAATTTCACCTCTGGCTAAACTTCTTGTATGTATTGCCTCTAGTTAAATCACTGAATACCTCTTCAATTGTAAGTTGCTTTAGACAAAATTGTCTAAATGACTAAATAAATGACTAAACACTGGCTAAATTAGTTGCTGCAGCACAAAATTCATTCATTCATTTTCTTTCAGCTTAGTCCCTATATTTGTCAGGGGTCACCACAGCGGAATGAAACAACAACTTATCCAGCAAAAGACAAGTTATCAAAAGATAAGACAATGTAAAGAGGCATAATTGTGGAAAAATATATTTCTCAGCTTTTATTTATCTTTGAACAAACACTTTAAGTCAGAATTTGCCAGCGGTATAAACACATTTTAGACTTGACTGTATATAGTTAGGGTTGGGTTGATAGACGATGCCATCGTCCATTGCCGATGGCCGATAGACATCACGATGCTGAGTCAGTGTTGTGATCCTTCACTCCGCCCCATCAACCGCTCGCGAAAAATACACACAGCCCTGTTTACACTAATAAATCTTAGTTTTAAATTGCTGTTTTAGGAAGAAAACAATCCACATCCACACTGGCTTTCATCTAGCAAATGCATGTCCAAACTCGGTCCTGGAGGGCCAGTGTCCTGCAACGTTTAGTTCTAACCCCAATCAGACACACCTGGGCTAGCTAATCAAGCTCTTACTAGGCTTTCTAGAAACATCCTTGCAGGTGTGTTGAGGTAAGTTGGAGTTCAAATCTGCAGGACACCGGCCCTCCAGGATTGAGTTTGGACACCCCTGATCTAGCATTTCTGAAAAGCCCTCCTTCCACACTATACTGCTGAAAACATACATCACGTGACCACAAACACATGTGCTGCAGTGTATGCCTGCATCTGAGTTCCGGCAGTCAGCGGATGCTTTGAGCACAAAACCTCAGAGAGCAGTGCATGTCGGACAGTTTATCAAGGATGTATCGCGTGATCGCGTCTCACCATAGTTGTTAAAAGTGATATTTAATTAATCTTGACTATCTAACGACCCTTCTGTCTTTTGAATCTATCAAGTAACGTTTTACAGCATCAGTACAATGCTTCAATCTTTCACTTTTACGCTTGTACTTAGTAATTTTAGCAAAAACCTCAGATACTGTTGGTTGGTTCCTGTTGGTTGTGCACCTTTTTTACCAACCAAGTTTGTCAGCATCATTATAATGACACAGATCGCTCTGTCTATTCATGCCAGAGTCCTGTGAAAAAAGTGATGGCAACATTTTATTTTAATGGTCCATTTGAGTATTAGAAGACTGTCTGCTTAATATCTGTTGATATGCTCCTTCAACAGACATGACTATAAGAAACTGACCACAAAAAACTTTGCAAGTACATGTCAACTTCCACTAACCCTAACCCCAGCCTATCAGGCTACTGAGAATATAATATTATAATAATTATAATCTAATGACAATTAGTTGACTTGTAGATGCAATGTAACAAACGGACCATCAAAATAAGATGTGACTTGATAGGTGGTAATTTGTGAGTGGTAATTCTTACGATGCATATTTCTACCTACAGGCAATTACAAAGCTACAAATACAGAAAGAATGAAATTAAGGGGTAAATGCGACACAACCTTGGAAAAAAAGCAATAAAAAGCAAGCTTTTTAGTAGATGATTCTGGTCTGTGTCATAAGGGTTCATTTTCTGCCCAGAGCAACACACCCGACACATGCAACACACACCCACATGCACACACACAATGCCCTTTAACCCAAACCAGAATAAACCAAATTTATCTACACGAAGAGAGAAGTGTGTGAGTAAGAAATGGCAACTTT